CCCCCCCCCCAGGAGAGACCTGCCTGAGGCCACCACATGGGTGCCCAGTGGGGCTGAAAGCCCTGCCCCAAGCCTCGCAGGCAGTCCAGGCAGCTGGGGCTAGACCTTGGACCCCTGAGCAGCATGCAACACTCAGGGCAAGCAGGTCACTCAGAGCCATGCACCCTGCACCTGAGGCACCCGAGACCTCTCCAGTCTGTCTGACCAGCCTGGGGGCCAGCAAGCTTTGGGCAGGACAGACCCAGCGCTGGGCTCTCCACCCCAGCACCCTGGCCCAGCATTCAGGACTCCAGATGGGGTGAGGGGGGGGGCTTTCTCCCAGGGACTGGCATTGGCCAAGCCCAGAATGGGCAAGGGGCAGACACCACCTTCCACACCACGCGAGGCCCTGGGCAGCCCTCTCTGGGCCTCCACAGCACAGGCCCACAGTGTCAGACCTCAGCACAGCAGGCTGGAGGCACCTGAGGAGCCACTGACCTTTCCCCATCCCTTCTGAAAGGACAGGTCTCTCCCAGCCACAGGGGGTCCACAGGCCCCAGCCCCTGCAGGGTCACAGCCCAGATCGCAGGAATGCCAGGCCCTGAAAGCTCAGCCCCCACCCCGCCTACCCCCTACCCCTCCCTCCTGGAGCCCAGCACCTTCAGAAAAACAGTAATCACCTGGCTGCAAAATATTATTTTTAATTTCCTCTTTATGGTCTAATTAAACAGATATTTTATTTGCACTTAAAAAGAGTTTTTCTTAATTTGACTCAACTTAGCACTGCATACCACCTACCTGCACGCCGCCCAGTTTTAGGGAGCCTCCCCCCTTTAAGGTGACTTTCCATTCCTCGCTGCAGCTCTGGGGTCTCTGAGTTACTGTAAGTAATCCTTCCATCTTCCCTGCACTGGGGGCCCAGAGGGACCTCACCAGGACCTGCTGCCCCATCACCACTAACAGGAGAGGTTCCCCCAGCCCAGCCTACCAGGCCCACCCATGAGGTCCCACAGGAGCTGACCACATCCCCAGCTGAGGCCACCATGGGAGGGGGACGGGAGGGGTCTGCTCCCCAACTCAGAGAAGCCCCAAGACCTCAGGACTATGAGACGACCCTCTCTGAGCCCCCATCACCCCGTCTTTAGAAAGAGGGTGCCAGCACCCACTGGAAGGGAACTTGGACCAGATGCCCAGTCTGGAGGAGCACCCGAGCCCGGGGTTCCCCTCCCCGGGTGCCACACTGTGTAGGTGAGCATGCATGTGGGCAGGGAGCTGGGGTCCTCACTGGCAGCAATCTCTCTGCCTCACCCCCCCTTCCCTCCAAACAGAGCACGCCGGCAGCGGTCCCAGGCAGGCAGTGACCCCGTGCAGGCAGTGACCCCATGCAGGCAGTGGCCCTGTGCAGGCAGTGACCCTGCATCCACCGCTTCCGGAGTTGACAACAGGTCCAGGAAAGGACCCCTGGCTGCTGGGCCAGGCACCGCCTCTCGAGCGCTGCTGTCCAGGACTGAGGACATTCCTATGTCGCGTGCAGCCTGGCGGGACTGGGGTAGGTCAGGGATCAGGGCTCAGTTTTCCAGCCTAGAAACTGCCAGACTATGCTCAGGCCACTCCCTCCCATCGAGGGCCCAGCACCCAGCCCAGGGCCCTGCCCGCCTGAGCCTGCCAGTTCCCAGGGAGGACCTAGAGACCCCCAGCAGACCTCTCCTGTCCGACACTCCAGCCCCATCGGTCAGTAGTTCTGAGGCCCGGAGCTGACCCAGGTTCCCTTCTCTGCTGGGGGGAGGGGTGGGGAGCAGGGGGCCCAGCCTAGCTACCCAGCACTGACCAGCACCCGTCCCCAAGGCCTTGTGCCAGGCGCCAGCCAGCTGGGCAGCTGGGGGCACACACTAGTCCATTGAGACCTCCTCTCGTCAATGGTCCCCCCTGTCCTCTGCCCGATGCCACTAAAGGGACCCCTGGGGGCTAAAGGCCAGACCAGCAGGACAGCCTTAGCGGGGTGGGGGTAGCGGGGAGGCAGCTCCATCAGGACACCCGCCATTCAGAGGAGGGGCTTGGCATGCTTCAGGGGCCTGGACTCACCCAGACACGCTCCGGCCCAGCTCCGTGGGCCGAACATGGCTCATCTCCTCATCTGAACATGGGCTACAGATCTCTCCTCCAGGGTGGGGGGCATCGCCCTGCAGGCCATCCTCAACAATCACCCCAAAGAGAAGGCAGACACCAGGCAGGATGGGCCCCTGTCACTATCTCAAGACCCAACACCCAGACTTACCACTGTCAGGCACCCCCAGGCTCCCGCAGCCCCCTGTGCTGGCTGGATAAGTCCCCTCAGAGTGCCAGGGCACCCGCCTCCACAGACACCCACCCCACTGGGAACCCCCTTACATGCTGGCTACCATGAGCATGCCCCCTTTACAGACTGGGGCTCAGAGAGGCTAAGACACTTGGCTCAGGCCACACAGCAGAGCTGAGACTCAAAGTGTGGGAGGCACAGGAAGGGATGGGGGCCAAGGAGAGGGGGCCCTAGGAACAAGACCAGGAGGGTCTGTGGCTGAGCAAAGGGCAGCTGTTGGACGGGCCAAGCCGAGATGGCTGCCCGACAGTTCCTTGGGTTTTGGATGGGCCAAGTTTTGATGGCTGGTGGGAGTTCCAGGAGGCAGAGCTGGGCTGTGGAGGGCAGGACTGGGACAGGGAAGCCCAGAATAAGACATTTAGGGAGGGGCCAAGCCTGCAGCCCACACCCGAGCAGGACACGAGGCAGGGCCGGTGCCTGGCACGCTCCACCTGGAAACACGGGGTCAGAGGTAATGTGCAGCGGTGTAAGGACATCCACCTGAGACCGGACACAGCGGGCGTGGAGCAGCTGGCGCTGGGCCGAGCAGGCAGGACCATAAACCTGCCAGCCCCAGGCGCCTGGCGGAGCCCACCCACCCT